ACATTAAGACTTCAGCTGAAAGTCAGAGTCTGAAAATAACTTTATGCATTTTTTTTGCTATATACTCTATCTTTTTCTCTCTAAAATACCGCTACCAAGAGTAAATCTTTAAATTGACTTCCTGCAGGGTTTTTTCCCCTCTTGCAACAAGTTAAAACTGTAAACTAAAATTAATTTTAGGCTGCAGTAAGGAAGGAAAACATTTGTTTGAGCAAAAAATAAAAGAAAAAAAGCTGCAGACTGGGAAACACAGATTCAGGTAGTAACCTAAATTGTGCTCCCAAGAGACAAAGACAAAGTAACCTTTTAGAGGAAATTTTCCTGCTCACAGTTCCCATTTTAGTGAGTTTCAGGTAAATGAGGTTTCCAATTGTATCATTCTAATTGGTCTCAATTGTGCAGGTCTGATTGGTCAATTGAGTGGTCTAGATGCAAATGAGGCTATAATTTGTGCAGTTCTGATTGGACAGAGCAGGTATCAGTCAGTCCATTGGTCAAAAGAAAAATCAGGGCTTCTTTGCGGTGGTTGACTTGGGGTAACCAAGCAGGGCATAGTGGGGGAAAGTTCAGTCCCAGGTTCTATCTGGTATACAGAGTACGTGAGGAGCCGCTGTCAGCAAATAGCCACTAAGCTCTTATTTTTCATAAAATTTGGGCCCTCAGTTGACCATGAAAAGTCCATGTCAACAAATAATTTCTCTTTCTGGGTTTACATCAAATGATTTTTTCTTCTCTGAGATCCACAGAACTCATAGCTAAATAGTCCACAACGTTTTCATTAGCAAATCTTTAGTTTAAAACAATTGAATTATCTTTGTTTTCAATTTTCGGCTCTAAGTTTAGAGGTACTATAAACAAATCAAACCATCTCATTTTCTACTGGTAATAAGGTATTCCAGAACTGCAAGGATATATTATTACGTTCCAAAGGAACTTTTCTTGTTTAAAACTTTTGTGCAAATTATAAAACAGAAACTAGATTGAAAAGTTTAAATTGAAATGACTAGACATATGAGTTTGTGGAATTTCCTGTTCATATGCAAATTTAGGGATTATTCCCAAGACATTTCTCTCTCCACCAACATTCATTATGTTAAATGAAAAATATATATTTAATTTTTAATGCACATGGCTCCTTATGAAGAAACTGAGGACTTGATACATGAAAAAAAAGAAAGACTTTTGTAACTCATTCTAATTCCTTGTTGATTATTTAAGGTTGAAATAACATTTTGGTAAGTTAGCTGAAGCATAACAAAAATTAAGCACTGGAATGTTAGAAGATCTAGCGTTCTCACAGAATGTATTTTAGTAAATCACCTTTCTATGCTTCAAACATTTCTGTAAAATGAGGATAACAGTAACTCAACATTCGCGTCAAAATGAATTGGGTTCAAGTTCCCGTTGAGACACTTCCCAATGGTTTTAACTTAGCCAAGCTCCTTACAATCATTTGTGGGGTAATTACACCCATATTTTCAGATTGCTGTGAGTATTAAGTATTATCTGGAAACATGCACCAAGAAAGAGTAAAACATATAAAACACTTTTGATGTCTATACATTAGATCTCTCTATATTCATCTAGTTTAATGATAGTTATGACATCTTTTAATGCCTGTCCTTTGTATTCCATTTACTGTTTCATGAGCAAGTATTACTTTTCCTTCTTGCTTTTCAGCTTTCTCTAGCATGAAAAGTATGTAAAATTTATCAGTGCAGAGGGTCTCTCAAGCAGTGAGTTATTTTGATGTTAAAAACAGATATGGCTGCTGCTTTGGGGTAAAATGCTCTGAAAATATCAATGGAAAAAAAACAGATATTACCAAGTCTAGAAAAATCCACCTGTATTTCAATACAAATTTCCCAAGAGGTGTGTGGGTGAGTGTGTGTGTTTGCAATTATATGTGATTCAAATGAGGAAACGGATCCATGGGAAAGCTGCTTATATACATGAATAATTGAATAATTGAACTAAAAATTAAGGAAGCAAAAAATTTAAAAAATAGAGGATGTTCAGTTTTTCTGAGCTCCTTGATATTTATAGCTGACAGAGGCAGCTTTTGTAAAGAAACAGCTCTCTTGGAAAAAGTATTTTGTTGGTTTATTTTTTTACCCCCTAGAGAAGGAACCACGGGTCTTCAACGACGTGCTGTTTGGCTGCATTTAACTGACAAGGGTCCCAGACACATGACATTCAGAACATAATACAGACATGCTTCAGCTTATTTTTCTCTGGCTCTCTCACTCTTCATCTCCCAGCCCTCAGGTACACTCATTACAAGGTTCCCAAGCCAGGAAGCAGGAGTGGAGTTTCAGTACAGAATGTAGCTCTTCACATCATGTTGGTCTAAGAAAAAGAAAGAGGGGGAAGAAAGACGAAAAGCAAAGGGGAAAAGAAAGGAAGGAGAGAAGGAAAAGGGGAGACTGAGGCAAAGAAAAGAAAGAAACAAGAAGGAAGGAGAGAGAGAAATAAAGAAAAAATGAGAAAGGAAGTAAATCTGGATGAAGGGAGGAAAAGGATCAGTAAGACTGTGAGAAAGGATCAAATGAGAATGTGAGAAAACGAGAAGAGCTCCAGTAGGAAGACAGAATCTTCATCAGCACTTAACAGAATCTCAAAAGGCAATGCATTGTTTTCTAGAAAGCCCCAAGCTAAACAATTCCAAGAATGTTTGACATAGCTCTTTTGGGAAGGGTGAGGTGGGGGCATGGGTTGGGGGTGGGGGTTTCTTACACACACACACACACACACACACACACACACAGGCAGGCACACCCGGCCCCCACACATGATGTGACAGGGTTGGGGAGACCTAGTGGAAACCTTCAGGTCACCCAGGGAACTGCTCCTCTGGCTGGTCCTGCAGCGGCGAGGAGGGGGGGTGGTGAGAGCGCTGAGACGTGCGGGGCGCAGAGATGAGCAAGTGGCGAAGCTGGACCGAGCGCAGGCGGGAGCAGCCGCCCAACTCCCGGCGCGGGATCTGCTGAGAGGCCACGGTGAGTCCTTCCGGGTGTCCGAGTCCGATGGGGATGCCCAGGGTCCCCATCGCCTCGGCAAGGCGGGCTGGTAACCTCCCCGGAGTCCGGAGTCCGGCCTCGGCCCGGCGCAGCCCGGCGCCCCACGCAGCTGGAGTCGCTCCTGGGCAGACTTGTGGTCCGACCGGCGCTGCGCGGGGCGCCTGGCCCCGCGCGCTCATTGGTCGGGACGTGTCTGCTCGGCAGCCTTCAACTTCTCCCGAATCCCACTGGCGAGTCCCGGGAGAGCCAGCTGGCACCTGGGAGCGCGAGGAGGAGTCCGAAGGGGCGAGAGCCCCGGGTGGTGGGAGCGGGTGGGATGGGCTCGGGGAGGTCAGAGCCAGCGGGAGGGAGCGGCTGCCCTCGAGGTGCGAAGAGCGGGGTCCACGGGTCAGGTCCAGCGCGATCTCAGCGCCCGCTGGGACCCCGCACGACCTCAGCGGCCGGGACCCCACGGCCACGGACGAGGGAGGCGTGTCCGGGGAAGGAGCCTCACTGGGACCTGAAGAGTGAGGGCATGGGGCCGAGGTGACCTGGAGGAGGGCTCTCAAGTGCAGTCAGGTCGACTCTTCGGGTTCATTTCCATAGCTCCCTGCAGCCGCTGACACGAGGAGTTAAGTGCGGCTACCGAGATCACGCTGCCTATTTGCAGCGGGGCTGGTTTGGGGGCTGGGAATTTGCCGTTCCGCTGTGCAGACACTGGCTTTATTATTTTTTTTTAAGCAAGGTTTGTTTTCTTCTTTATTTCTGTCGAATTGTCTCTTCCTTTGCAACTCACTTTTCTATGCTTACTTTTCCTAACCTGAAGATCTTTTCATTATCTCTCCTCTTCATTTTTGCTTAGAACCTTAGTTTCCTATTATGTAATTTGTGCGGTATAGCGTACTTAAACCACACAAAGGTTGGTTGGCAGGGGTGGAGGGCAGTTCTTTGGTAGATAAAAGTTTCCCTACTTCATCGGTCTCAGTCTATTTGTAATTTGAAAATAAAGATATTGCAACCTAACATTCACCTTTAGCCACTGGGTCAAGTCTATTCCTCTCCCATATATGATGCAAATGGTAATTTAAACTGAAAAGTGGTACCTGGTTTACAGCATCAGTGTTTGGGAGCTCTTTATGGATAAATCAGTTATGAAGGCGTGTACTTCTCTCTGCTGAACTATTTCTGGGTTCCAGCACTCTGCAACTGTCCAACAGTTTTTTGGACTCAATGCAGTGACTTTCATTGAGCAGCTTATGGGAATAATGTGGATGGCACTTAGTGTCCAGAACTCCATATTCCTGACCCAGCAAACACCTACAAATTAACATCCAGGGAAAACATGATGATTTCTCTTGAGTACCTGCCTCTTGTGCTTCTCAAGCTACAGTTAACTCTGGAACTTGTTTCTCCAGCTTCCTGTGCCTCAGTTTACATAATACAAACTTTAATTGCCTAGTGTACCTTCAGGCACTTGCCGAAATATTAACATAGTCATGTGCTGTGAAGATAAAAGTTGCTTAGGTTTATAGACTTCCTTTTAACCAATTATGCTGTGAGTTCTTTGATTTGACTATGCAACTATTCACAACTGGTATAAGCATTTCTGCTTTATATTGCTTTAAAACTCAGCTTCCGCTTAGGCAAAATAATCATTTATTTGGATGATGTTGTCAAGGTGGTAAGATTCTTTTGGGTTAGGTCTCTTAATTCTCTATTCTTTCCCATGAAAGCATCTACTTTTCTGTTTATGATTTCCAGCATATTTCCAGTTAAGGTGAAATATGTTTTGGCATACCTTGTTTTATTTGGGGACTGCAAGTATCAACTTTTATATATTTATATTTCTTTTGTGTAATTGCTCTCCTTTCCAAGGCTTCTCTCAAATGGTATTGGGTGTGATAGAGTTGAGTTTTCAAGTGTCTGGGACTTCCTGAGGTCAAAGATTCTGACCTCTGTTTCTTTAAAAGAAGGTACTGAATCCACTGGAACTACCTGGAAATGAATAACAAAGTTAATGAGGAGGTTAAACTTGGATCATTTCTGCTTTGCTCAATGCTGTTATTGAACAGTACTACTTAGGAACAAAAAGAGTGAAATTTCCAGAGGATTTACAAAAAGGCCAGATGGAGAGCTTGCAGGTGATTCACAGCTGATATTCTCTGACTTGGGTAAAAGGGCTAAACAGCTTCAGTCCCTGCCTTCGGTGCCCTAGGATGATTTCTCCTGCCTTAGGTGCAGAACCACTGAGAGCCCAGAAGTTTTCCTGCAGAAGCCTGGTGGCGCTAAAGAGCACCTTTCACTTAACCCCGTAGCTGCCCTGATTCTTGGCCATAAGTTTTTCTGGGGAAACTGGTTGTTGTTTCAGAGAAAGAACTAAAAACAGAAGTGGGTCATATTATGTTTCTTTAGATTGTTTTTTGAGATATTATTAGAGCAGGGAGAGAAATAGTCAAGAAAGGGAAATACTTCTGCAAATGTGATTCATATGTTCTTTAGGTCAGTCTCGGTTTATTCTGAGGGAAGTTTTGATTGTTTATCTCCCTGTACGGTGTGTTAAATTTGTTTTCATCTTTTCTTTCCCCAACCACCCTTATTAAAACTACAAGGTCTACAATCAATGTAATTCCATATCATAACCCCAGGGGCTGAGACCAAGACAACATGAGTTACATAACCATTAAGAAAGACATTTTAACATTCAGGTACATTACATTCCACTTTTATTGCGCAGACACACTTTTCATGGTCTAATAAAATATTTTTATTTGAAAGTCTGTCCTTGGTTATAGCCTCGTGTAATCAAGGGGAGAGCATGCTTAAGACTCTGTATCCAGAACTTTAAAGTTTAGTTGCCGTGGTTCACTTATTAATAATTCACCAGGGAGATTAAATGTCTAGTTATCTGCTGGACTACACTGCAGACCACAGTGCAAATGTAGACTCTGTTTCTTCTTTATCCTGTGCCTCAGTTTCCACAAAACACACCCTCAGAAAATTGTGTATGGTCAACAAAGATCTTTACCTAAAAGAGCAATTCTGAGCAGTTGCTTCATCTAGGAGCTAAATTACATGCTTAATTTTTATCGAGCTATAAAAAGCTAATCTGTTAGTTTACAATGCTCTTTTCTACATTACAGCCCTGTGGAACAACTGAAGTTATCTGGGCTTTTGTAGATGGCCATTAGAGAATCAATAGGCCTCTAAAAGAAACATAATGAAATCAGATGTTTAGACTTAATAGCCCTTACATTTTCCCCCAAAATGTAGGCAGTATGATCTACAGCGGCTTTTATTATATGATGACACAGTTTTATGTGTCATCATATAATAAAAGTGACCAAATGTGTTCTTTATGAAGAACATGTACGAAGTGTGTAGCCTGGGGCAAATTACCTGACATTTCCGCATCTCCGTTTCCTGATGTGCAGGGTTGGAATATCGGTATCCCCCTTACGAAGATTAAATGCATTAGTACGTGTAAAGCACCAAGGGCTATGACTGACACATAGGAAATGCTCAATCCATGTCCACTATTGTTAGAAGCATTAATATTAAAATAGATAGACATCTTGACCATTGTTACTCTTACCTACAAGGTAGGATTTTTTAAATCATATTTTTTTGTTCTTCAGTTGCACAAAGAAATTATGGTTAACATCTTTCATCCCTAGAGGTGAGCCACTGACTTTTGGTCCAGTGAGTGATCATTTGCAGAATGTCATCTAACCAGTCAATAGCTACCTTTATCAGCTGTAGTCATCATTTTGAGCTATAAAATCAAAAGTTGTTTTTAAGACTAAAAAGAAACTGCATGTGTTTGTTTTTATTCTGCACTCCTATTTCAAATATTGCTTAGTCAAAATCGCAAAGTGTCAGTTATTCATTTCCAAGCTTATAAAGGGAACCACTGGAACATGATATAAAATTTACCTTTGACATCGTCCAAAGTTCAGAACGGTGGTTTAAAACTTTCCTTAATGATAGCACAGCAATTATTTGCTTAGGAGCTGCCCAAGGAATCCTATGTGAGTATTTAACTGAATCTCTTGTCTAGTTTTGCTTGGATCTTCTGTGAACGTATATAAAAGAAAAAAACAAAAACAAAAGGTTGGGACAGTGACCTGTCGAATTCACTGGGCTCCGTATTCTTCTCTGTTGGAATCAAAATCTTGACTTTTTCATTTTAATTTATTTATTTTTAGGGAGAGGGGAAGGGAGGGAGAGAGCGAGGGAGAGAAACATCAATGTGCAGCTGCCTCCCACGCACCTCCTCAGTGGAGACCCAGCTGCAACCCAGGCAGGTGCCCTGACTGGGGATCCAACCGATGACCCCCTGGTCGGCGGCGGGCGCTCAATCCTACTGAGCCACACCAGCCAACCAAAATCTTCTATTTCTTACTTTAAATAAGTTAACCTTTACTTTATTCATCCACATTAAGCATTTGGAAAATTGTATACATATACTTCTTCTTTTTATCTGTTTATTAGTTTATTAGAAACATTGTTTAAACAGTTTTAAACTTTTTGCAGATTTTAGGTGATGGGCAGATCAGAAAGTCAGATGGATATAACTGATAACAACACTCCAAAGCCAAAGAAGAAACAGCGATGGACCCCACTGGAGATCAGTCTGTCGGTCCTGGTCCTGCTGCTGACCGTCATCGCCGTGACCATGATAGCACTCTACGTGAAGTATGATGGTGAGTCCCTCCCACACCTCTGCATCCGTAAGTGCCGAAGGGAGTGACGTCCTCATCTGACACTGGTGCTTTAAGGAGAAAGACAATTAAATTAAAGGTAGTGCTAAAAAGGGGCATTTATAAAGTCTAACATCAATATGTCAAAACAAATAACTTTGACTAAAGTACAACGTCTTTAACGTTTGAGCTAAATGAGTCCTTGCCAAGTGTGTTTAATGCCCTCATGCTGAGTTTATGAGGATTCTAATGTATAATTTCATTTGATTAAAGTATACACAATTTCGTGGCCAGCTTCAATTAGTCAGTTTTATTGCGTCATTGAAATTCAAAAGGGCTACACAGGAATGTGAGAGGTCAAAACTGAGTCTTAGAAGTGTTTCACAATAAGGATTAGAAAAGATTGGTTCCTTAATGACCAAAAAAACCAAACAAACCATGATTACCAGACTAAAACAACTGATTATTTCAGTTTAAAAGACGTAGAGCTTAGTGGGTAGAGATGATGTAATAAACACATTTTTCTTCATAATGAAAATTTTACATTTAGGACTTTCCCACTTTATTCCTCCATATTTTTAAACTACTAACAATGATATGTAACATTCAGGCTTAGTTCTTGCTTTACAGAATCAGTTATATAATTGGTGGTTTTTATAAGAACAAAAGATAGGGAGAAATTAGAAGGCATGTATTGCAAATATTTATGTGTATACCCTTCTTTTTCTAGATGGTATTTGCAAGTCAGCAGAATGCACACAATCAGGTAAGAAGATGGCTTTTAAATACAGTAGTGTTACAATTAATGTATAACATTTAAAAATCCAATGCTAATAGATATCTCTAAATTTGCTTTGTTTATGATTTTATTCATTGTGGATCACTTATAGGCAAGAAAAATAAAATGTATTTAAATGGTAGATTAACTGACATGTTTGTTCTACAAAAAGAACTTCAGAAGGGAGTAGCACGTAGTCATTTAAGTTACATGGAGAAGTTGAGGTTTGGGAGGGGCCCTGAAGCAGGGCCAGGATTGGAAGAGGAGATACAGTGGCGGGAATTCCCAACAAGGAGGAAGAACGGCCGGAGTAAATCACATTGCTGAGAAGCAGGGAAAATGTAGGCACGGTGGACAGGGGCACATTACTGAGAGCTTTGAAAATCTGTGGTTAGCCTTGATGTTGTAATAACAGAGAAATGGATATTTTCCTGAACAGGTCACTTGATAAGGCAGAAATTGAAAGATGATTCTGGGAATGCTAATCTAGATGGATTAAGTGAGAAGTAATAAACCAGGCAGGGTGGGCAGATAGGGGTTGTTGCTGTAATTTGGCTGTGAGTTGGAGAGGTCGGCCTGTGATGGGATGAGACAGCTACAGGGCAAAGTGAAGGGAGAATTGGGTGGCTCGATAGAACTGACTTGCTAAATGAAGGATTTGAATAATTTGGAAATGATGCCCAGTTTTAAAACCTAAAGGACTCAGGAGAATGGTATGAGGGCACACAGAAGTAGAAAAGTTAGGAGGAAGTCTGTTTTAGGAAGGGGTGTGGCTAATATGGATTTGTATGTGTTGAGTCTAAGCCAGGGGTGATAGCCCAGTGGAGACAGACAGCAGGTAGGTAGAGATGGAGCGTTAGAGAATCTCTCATGGGGCAGATGCAGGATCTGTCAGCCCAGGGGTGATAGCTGAGCCTTGGGAGTATTGGAGTTCCCAAAACGAGAAGAGAAGAGGTATGACAGCAGAATTGAAGAGAAATCAAAAATTAGAGTAGAAGGAAAGGTCAGAGAGGTGTAGGGAACTGCGGAAGTCACATCCTTCAGAGTGTGGTGAAAAAGAACATTTTTACAAGAATAAAGGTGTAGCTGGGCACAGCACCCTGGGTATTAAACACAATATTAATGCCCTTTGACGAGAGATTCTAAACTTCCTTCCAAGAAATAACCTGCCCCAAAATATTTGTAACCATTTGCTGTTGCATGTTCTTAATCTGGGTTTTTGTTATTCACTGACCTTTGCAAAATAATGATGGGAAGATATTTTAGGATTAAAGGTTGTAGTCTAATATTTTGAATATGCGCTCCTTTGTATTTCTTGATTGCTTTTTGATTTATTGTTATTATTATTATTTGTTTTGCTCTGGATCTTAACTGCACTCGCTGTATACTCACCTGAGACAGGATTGTAGGTAGCTTGAGGAAGACTCCATTGGGGTAGCAGCCATTTGCTGCTCAGCATAACAGGCACTTTCCCATCCAACCATTCTGGTTTCCCAGAAACCAGGGAAGTTCCTTTTATCCCCAGGGAAATGGCTGTACAGGTGCCTAGGCTGGGAGATATCCAGGGTCCCTGTGCCAGAGTTAACAATGTGCCCGAGTTGTCAAAGTTACCATTTGCTCTCTCCCCACTCTTCCCCCTCTGTTCCCTGCACCAGCTGCCCTATTAAATGTTCATGCCATCCTGCTTTGAGAAACTTCCACTGATAATTATCTCTAAATTTCTCAGTCCTTAAAACACCTCGTGTGTCTCTTAAGTCTCTTCTCCCTCACACTTTTATTTTCCCCTTTGTTTTTTCTTACATTTTGTTTTTGAAGAAACTGGATCCTTTCACTAGTAGGTAGGCAAGAAGATCTCGGCGGTTTTCTCTGTTAGTGCGCTCCCCAGGAGAAATGTGATATTTGAAATCTGGAATCTTAGATGTGACTTAATGTTTAGATGTATGGATTTGGCTTTTTAAGTAGTATTTGACAAGTCTCAACTCATTAAAATGTATTTTACCTGTATCCTTTTATTGTAGCTTAGAAATCATACCAAATGTAAAACACCTTGTAGAACTGCATCTTGGCAGAGAAATGTATACAAGAGAAATAGCTTCAGTGGTAAACAAGGTTGCTGAATACCGTCGTGTTTTTCTTCATCCTGCTCTGTTGGTTCACAATCTGTTAGACTACTTCCATATCCATAGTTATTACTCTTCCTGGGTGAAAAAAAATGAAATTCAAATTAACCCTTATGAATACAATTTCACACCCATATGCATGCACAGTCCTCTGCTAGTTAAGAAATCTGTTCTCCCGTAGATAAATAACTATTGCTTTTAGAATTTGCTGCAAATTAAGAAAACTCTAAAGGAAACCTTGAACAGAAAAAAAAAGTACTAAAGGGGGGGAGAGAGTGAGAAGAGTGGAGCGGATGGAAAGGAACATGAGAAGATGGAAAAATGAAAAAATGTCGAAAACCATATAAAGTCTACCAATTCTATAACTCACTTTTTAAAGGGCTAGGAAAATCCAAGCCAGAGTACAGAAATTCTTGAGAAATGAGAAATTAAGTATTGAGAGCCGAGGTGCTCACTCTGAGTGGAAGTTGATTCTAACTTAAATCTTCCTGCCCGTGGATGGGAAGTGCAATTCCCTCCTTGATCCTGTGAGGTCAAGGAGCCAGCTCTAGGCCAAAAAAAATAAAAAATACTGTAGAAGGCTGTGGGTCACCTTGAAATCTGCTTATTGTTAGTTTAGGTACTAAATCTGAGCATCTATGAATTTAAATATTCATAATATACATAAAATGATGTTTATGGTAAACACTTTAAATTAACTTGTCTATATATGAAATGCAGCAGTGTGAAAGATTACACCAGACCTAAAATAAAACAAACTACTTAACAAATAACCAGATAAGGCAGTGCTTAAAATCCTGCTATTAAAGTATGAGTAATATTCTTCATCTCTTATTTACCATATAAGATTGTCAAAGGTATGGAGTTATAGAGCTTGTATGTGATTTCTCAAACTTCTCTATATAAATCTAAATCCTGTAACTGGTTCCCACTACACTGCAACCTTACTAACTTGGAAGATTTCATGGAATCGTGTGCTTTCAATCAGGTGTTCTTAGCTTTCTCACTGATGACATTTGGGGCTGGATAATTCTTTGTTGGGGGAGGAGGCTGTCCTCCACATTACAGGATGTTTCTCAGTGTCCCTGGATTCTACCCATGAGGTTTGTAGTAACACCCCATCCCCCAGTCGTGACAACCAAAAACATCTCCAGATGTTCCTAAATGTCACTGGAGGCAGCATGGTCACTTCTGGTTGGATGGATACCACTGGCTTAAGTGATCTGAAGAGATCATCCAGTGCTTTTCCCTCGGTCGTAGGCAGAATGATGCCTCTCTAAAGGTGCCTGCATCCCATCCCTGGATCCTGTGAATGTGTTACCTTATACAGCAAAAGAGACTTTGCAGATGTGATTGAGTTAAGGATCTTGATATGGGGAGATTATCCAGAATTAATTGGGTGGTGTCATGTAGTCACGGGGTTCTTACAAGCGACGAGGGAGCAGGAGGGTCAGGGTCAGAGCAGGTGATGTGGCATGAGACGCAGAGGCTGCAGCAATGTGGCCACAAGCCAAGAAATGTAGGCAGCCTTTAGAAGTTGGAAAGGGGAAGGAATGTTCCTTCCCTAGAGCATTCTGAAAGAATGCAGCCCTGCCAGCCCTTTTTAGAATTCTGACCTTCAGAGCTATAAAATAATAAACTTATGCTGTCTTAAGTCACTCAGTTTATGCTAATTTTTATAGCAGCAATAGAGAACTAGTACTACACCTTCCATAGTTCCTTTATTTTAAAACTATCTTTGAAGAATTAAAACACGCGTGCGTGTGTGTGTTTGTTTGACCAACTGCTGTTTTCTTTCTACATTGAGTAATGTAATATGCAGGTATAAGGAAGGAATGTTAAATGGATTAATAGAGGAGTGGAACAATAGAATGCATGAGAATAATAACAGAAAATAGGGTACAATAAAATAATAATAGAAGATAATGAAATAGACTAATAAAAACTAAGACTTACCAAAGGTCTTATGTGTCTGGCACTATTGTAAGCAGTTAATGGGTATTAACACATTTGATCCTCATAGTGACCCTGTGAGGCAGGTACCATTATCTTTTCTTTCTGAAGATGACAAAATGCATTAGGAGTCTAACCCAGGAGGCAGCCTGGCTCCAGAGCCTGTATTTATGGTCACTTCTCCATGTTACCTCAAAGGAAACTAGGAGTCTGTAGAACTTTCAGTACCGTAGGCCTGTGCATATAGTCTAAGAGAGGTGCTGCCCTCCTGCTGAAAGACATAAGGTAACACTCAGAGACTCCAAATAGTTAAATCCAGACTGAGAAGGAGAATATCTCTTAGACCCAGCGGCCAGCTACTTTACTGAAAACAGTGAGCAGCTTCATCACCAAATACAACATGGAGCAAAGGGATCTAAAGAAGCAAATGATGGCAGTGCAGTCCTAAAATCTCCGGGCGATAGAACAGCGGGCAATGCGTTCGCAGGAGAGGCTGTGCTCTGCACACTGTGGCCACTGAGAGACAGGCTCCTGGGGCATCCAGACCTGGATGCAACTGCTCAGAGCCACCCAGTTCCTTTCATTCTCTACTAACCAAGCAAACTTTTCATGAGCACTCAATTATTAATACAAGAAAAGGAGGCATTGTTCACCTGAAAGATGCATTCAGCATGATGAATATATGCACATTCTGATTTATTATCACTTTGGTGCAGCTTGAGCTACCATCTTTAAAGTAAATGAAACTTCCAGCATCTGGTCATTTCTGCAAGGGCTGGATCCTGGTAATCCCCTAGGCGAAGTATCCTGGCACCAGCTGGCCTTTTCTGGATAGCAACAGGGACTCTCTGCCTCTCTGTGGACCATGGTCTCTCCTTTCTTGCCTATTAACACCCAAAAAAACCTTCATAAAGA